ATACGACAGAATTAAGACAAACAGCTGTTAATGGTTTATTTTAAACCAGGCAAGCTTAGCCTTTGGTAAATATTCAGTAAGTTAGTTTTTCACTACACAAGGTGTTGGGAGATGAACAGACTCTGTGTCCTCTACCCTTTTTATAGGAGGAAATAGGGAACTGGTTTTTTCCTAGTATTAGAAATAAAATGTAATTTAGAAAACACAATTAAGACCTTTATAGTGATTGTTTTGTAGCAAAGGCAGTTATTCTTACAATAGTATATATAACTTTAGTAACAAGTTAAAATAGTTTTTCTTTCTTTTAGACAAAGAGATTTCATACTAGAAAAACAAAAATAAACCTATCCACTTTTTAAACATAATTTCATTTTTGATGAATGTTCATATACAGTTTCAAAGCCCCAGGTGCCAGGTGTGGTACCAAGTAAGCTGTACTCTTAGCCTTGAAATTTCAGTATTTTTTTTCCAGAATATTTCTCTATTATTTATTTAGGGTTATAAAGGCTGATTACTTTTAAAAAGTAAAACATATTAAAAAATAATTAGTTCAATTACTAGGGTAAAACAGAAAATTTACTCAATCATGAGAATACTAGGTTTGTAGAACCCCGATGTATACAAAGGTAAATATCTAAGTAGACTGATTTGCTTCTGATTCATTAAGTAATCACATTACCTTAAATGTCTTGACATCCATCTTAATTAAAAATACAAACATGAAATATATATCTCTGAAATAGGAGATTTGTTTTAAATGTAAAGTCCCCATTAGTTAAACTTTCTTCGTTTATGATTACTACATCTACATGGCTTCTTGCTTGTTAGATTCTTAGCACTTCTCTGGTTCCTCCTGGAAGGACACCAAACAACTTAGTAACATCCTCTTCTTAAGTTATAATTTAACTATGCTATGAACCCAGACAAGGAGTTCCAGAGAGACTAGTGGGTGAGTAATTGCTCTGCCAACACAAAGGCAAAAGGTTTAAATACACCAGTTGCAGGGAGGGAAAAAACCCAAACCACAACAAACCACCAGCAGCTCATCTTCTGCAAAGCACCAGCTAATAGTTCCAACTTGAGACAAAAATCAACAAGGCCAGTTAGATTGAATAAATTATTAACAGTGAGAATCTGACAAATCGACTTTTGGGTAGGATTCTATATCTTCTAAATTCATCAACGCATACTGTAGCTAAAATGAATCAAATTCTTTGGTTGGGAGAGCTGTGCATAGCATATATGACATAGAATAAGAACTGCAAATGACATTTTAAACTAGGCAATCTTGGTCTTTGGCAGGTAGTTAATAATTCAACAAGTTAATTCTTCACTATCCAAGCTGCTGAGAGACAAACAGACCTTCAGTGTCCTCTGTTCCTTTTATAGGAGAAAATAGGCTTAAAATGAGACTTGGGATTTTTTTACCATTAATGAGGATAATAAAATAACGTGTAATAATATAAAAAGAAAATTCAGACCCTTACGCTGATTCTTTGGTAGCAAGGCCATTATACAGACTCAACAACAACCAAGTTTGGTACGATTTTTTGGTAAGGTATATTGCTTGTCAATATACATTTAAAACCTTCATTGCTGTTGAGTTGGAACCCACTCAAAACATGACTTCAGTTCCTCAGAGGCTTGTATAGAATGAGACCACCCACCTTTCTCCTGTGGAGTCACTGGTAGATTTGAACCATTAGAGACATGCAATAAAAGAGCAGTCACAGTAACTTTATTTTTCCCCCCAGTAGTTTACAAAACTCAAATACAAATTCAAACATACTCTTTCAATTTCCCTTATCCTCACCCATCAAATTGTACAACCCAAGGATTAATCCGCTTCTCCCTGCACATCCACATACCTCTGCTTCCAGCCTCTCCCTCCCATCCTGTATCCTTACACTCATTCAACAATAACAGTTTTCTACAATATTTATCCTTATGGGACTGAATTAGTTCACTCCGCACAATGCTCTCCAGTTCCTCCCAAGTTAGGTAATAATTTACAAAGTTATTGTTCCTGCATGCTGCATAGTATTCCACTGTGTGAGTGAACCATCATTTCTCAATCCATTTGTTTGTGGTTGGACAGCTGGACTGTTCCCATGTTCTTGTGATCACTGTAACTTTAGAAGTAAAAAGAAAACAGGCACACACACATCCCTAGATAACATGCTAAGCTTTTCAACTCCAGAAAAAGTAGCTGAGCTTCCACGTAGAGGCCAATCTTGGTCCCAGGGCATCTCAAAGTGCTTGCAGCTGCAACTCTGCCTTGACTTAGCCTTGTATGTTCCCTATTTATAGTCTTCTACTCAATCAACAATAATGCTGTCCTAATTCTTCTTTGAAGCTGACATCCATAGGGATCAAATCAAACACTGGTGCAAAAACAAAAACTGGATAGACCTTTTTTACACCATCCTTATCAAATACTCACGCATTCTTCTCAGAGTCACCCAGTTTGTTATGATCCACACAGTCAAACACCTTTGCATAATCAATGAAACACAGACAGACATTCCTCTGGTATTCCCTACTTTCAGCCAAGATCCATCTAACATTAGCTACAATGTCCCTAGTACCACGACCCCTTCTAAACCCAGCCTGGACTTCTGGCAGCTCTCCTGATATGCTCTTCCAGTCGTTTTGGGGTAATCTTCAACAGATTCTTGCTTGCATGTGAAATCAATGATATTGTTCAATAATTTCCACACTCTGTTGGGTCACCTTGCTTTGGTATGGGAACAAATAGAGATCTCTTCCAGTCAGTTGGCCAACTGGTTGTCCTCCAGATTTGACACAACTTGGTGAGAACATCTAGGGCAGGATTTGTTAGTTGAAATATGTAAATTGGTGTACCATCAATTCCTGGGGTCTTATTTTTTGCCAATTCCTTCAAAGCAGCTTGAACTTCTTCCTTCATTACCACAGACTCTTGTTCATATGTTGCTTAATAAAAAATATTATCTTAAATTCTGTACTGGAATATTTGATAGAAGTTTCAAACTTTCAAATGATTTCTGTACTCAATCTTTCTTGTCAGGTTTGAGACTCAGAGTTCTTATAGTAAGGAAAGTATGAAGGCCATGATTAAACACAAAAATGCCAATTTCCAGAAGAGTTCACAGTAACAATTTATTCATGTTAAGTCAGAAAAAGAACTCTGGAATCCTAGTGGTAAGGAGCTGAGCTTCTAACTCAAAGTCATGTGGTCCTAATCCATCAGCTGCTCCACAGAAGATAGGCAATCTCCTCACATACTTACTATTCACTGCCTCTGAAAACCTGCTGGAGAGTCAGCTTTAAGCCATTTCTGCCAATTGAGTCAAGTGAGATAGAACCTTTATCTTTGGTTTCTTTTCTTTTCTCTCTCCTTGAGCTTATACTTATTTTGACACTTCTAAAGATTAGGGAGCTCTGGTAGTAGTGGCAAGAAACTGTGCTGCAATCCTAAAGACCCGTGCTTCAATTCCACCAAGTGCTCTGTGGGAGAACGACGGATAAACTCCTCATTGTGATTAACTGCTTCTAAAAACCTACCAGAGGGTCAGATGGTATACACCACCACCACCACCACCACAAAATAAAGAATAATCTTAAAATGAATATGCATTTGTTAATGTACTAATGTTATTCTTAATTCTTCATTCTTGTTAGAACTATGATAACAACTGCCTCCAAGAGTGTCTTAAATCTTAAAAAAAAAAAAAAAAGTGTTCTAACTACCCAACTATTTATAAAATTGTTTCTGGGAGGAAATTGCATTCCAAGTTTGAAAGTAACACATTTCCTGTCCATTAGAAGGTGATTTTAATCAGGGATTCAGCCTATAATCATAAAAAGAAATTAATCTTCCATTAGAGTTATAGGCTTTATTCCTACCAGTCAACTCAGGGCAATCAATTTTTTGTCTTATCCAAGATCTTTAACTACTTTCTCTGTTTTATTTTTTCCAAAACAGATAAAATCCTACCTATGGAAAAAAAAACCCACAAAACCTTTATCTCAGTTTTTCACATCCGTCTGCTACTGTGGCTTCTTTTTCACTCCTGTAACCCTCACTTTCTTGCACATTTTCCACGAAGTAAAGGTGTAACTTGTTCCTTCAAAATTGATATTTAAGTTATGAATTCATTACAAACAAAATATGCTTCACTTAACATCCTTTGACAAGTATCTTTTACATTAAATAGCTTTGTAAAATTCTGAAACCAAGTTACTGAGTCTTAAACAAGGCTTATTTGCAAAATACATCTTCCAAATGGCTATGGAAATTTATATCCTAAACAAATATAAATTAATTAACTTGTCCCTCACATCATCACCAAAGTGAAACGAGCAAGCTTTGCAATGTCTTTTGTTAGTTACATAAACAAATAATGGTATCTTGTTTTTTTTTCTTTAACCAAGAAAAGAGTTCGCGTATTTTTTACGTTATTTTTCAAATACCGAAAACAGAGTAAACTGGATTATCACTGTCACATATCTAAATATATTATTTCAATATAAGCTGTCAGTAATAAGAAAAGTCACATCTATTTTTTGAAACGTGTAACTACATACTTATTGACAATCTACTTACTATATATATCTATATCTACATAGATATAGATATATCTGTATCTTCAATCTCCAGTAGTATAAAAATATATCATTAAGTAACTTTCTAAAAGTTACAAATTAAAATTAGAAATTAAAGTTAAAAAATAAAGTATGTTAAAATATATGAAAAGAAACTCAATCTCTAATATCTCTACATGAAGTATTACCCTTTTTTAAGTATCACATTGATTTTACTGTTGGAAATTGATCACATACAAATTGTTTTACATAGTGGTATTAAGACAGTAAAAGGTTATCTTAGCAACTTTAAAACTGTACTCTTTAGACATTTTTATTTAAAATTACTTTGGAAAAACAATTATCAGGCCGATTTCTCTTCAATCACTCTTAGGATGGTTATTCTCCTTGAGGATTGTCTTCCATTCTCTTTTTCACTGGTCCATTTGGGTCTTGGTATGAGCTAAGAGGTGAGCTTTCAAGTTATTTGACTGAATAAACTTCTTGTTGCAGCCACGAAAAGGGCAAGCGAAACGCTTCTCCCCAGTGTGGATACGCACATGGGTACGCAAGTTGAAGTCCAGAGAAAAGCGCTTTCCACATCCTTCAAATGTGCACTGGAAGGGCTTTTCTCCAGTGTGAACAAGGAAATGTCGTTTTAGTTTGGAGCTCTCTGTGAAAGCTCTCCCACATTCTGCACAGACATGGTCTCGCGGACCATGCACTAGCCTATGCTTTCTCAGGGAGGCTTTATCTCTAAACTTTCTTTTGCATCCAATCTGAGGACACATGAAAATTTCCAGATCATCACATCCTGGATTTTTCCTTGGCTTTATTTTAGCAAATTCTGCCAGCTGCTTAGGATCAGTTAAGTCAATGCCGGGTATTCCACCAGGAGGAAATTTCTTGCCAGTCATGTACTCAGAATACTCCCTGACAATCTTCTGAGGACATTCTTTTTTCTCCTCCTTCACAGATTCCAAAGGACACTCGAGAGAGGTGTTGTCTCCAACATCCTTTTGAGCAATGTCTTGTTCTGACTCGTCACTCAGACAGTGTAGGGACTTAATTAAGTCCTCCTCTTCTAGGATGGACTCAGAAATTTCACTTTTTATTATACATTCTATGTAACAGTCAGGAAAAGAGTCATCTTCGACAACCTGAAGGCTGGTCTCATAAAATACACCTTCATCAGATATTGTCCACATTGATTTATCAGGTTGCTTTTTGGCTGGTTGTCCCTGGCTCAGTTTGACTTGGGTTGGCATAGTCTCACAGAGGCCTTTTTCATCATCTTCCTCATGGAAACTCCCCCTTAGTCTTTTCTTCAGTTGCTGATCCATGGAGTCTTGCCTGCTTCTTTCCTCCTTGAAGATTTGTACTGCGAACAATCAGTCACTTCTAGGAAGTAGTGAACTGGGTAAGCGGTCTTCAGCAACACCTGCTTTGTGACAGAAATCTCTAATTAAAATAGATTTCAATGTTAGAACCACTGTCAGAAATTAACTTCAAAATCCATACTAGAACTCATTTTTCTCCAATCATAGAAAGGACATATTTACTATTTTGCTGACAATCTCTCCAGTTTACACTGAATAAGCTCTAGCTTAAGAGTAGTTATAGCCAAATTTTATCCAAGTATCTGCTAATGGAGCTCTGGTGGCATAGGCTGGTGGCACAGAGAGTTGCATGGCTAACCCAAAGGCTGTTGGCAGTTTAAATCAACGGCTCCACAGGAGAAAGATGGACAACTGCCTTTCGTGAAACGATTTATAGCCTTGATCCTGCTTGGGTGGTAGAGGAATTATGAGTCAGAATAGACTCAAAGGCAAGACTTTGAAGGTTTTTTTAAGTTTTCTGATAATGAAAACAAAGGACACTACTGTAAAAAATTATCACATGCTATGTTATGCACTGTTGAGTCAGAACCAGCTCATAGCTACCCACCAGCAGGTTTTCAGACTGTAAATCTCATGGAATGAGATGATGCATCTCTCTCTCATGGAGCAGCTGAGTTGGCAGCACAACTCCTTACCAGGAGACCACAAGAACTCTCTGATTAAATGCTATGGAGTAGGTAAAAGGACTGGTGGAAAGCTGGAGATTGCATATTAAGCATGGCAAATTGAAGGAAAAGATAGCAGTCAATTAGAAAAGTCTTTTTGAAGGCGATAAAGGAGCAAGTTATGCATATTTTCTTATACCACTCTACTATGAAATTCCAAACTAAGCAAAGTACATAAAGTGCTCAGCACTGATTATGACACATACCAAATGCTTAGACTTTGAGTTAGCTCTATTTAATGTTAGTTTATCATGTTTTAATAAAATATCAGTATATACTAAATCCATGCTACACATGTGTACTATTCTGGCCAACTTTTCCTATAAAAGTCTTCACAAAACGAAAACCCAAGAGATTTAAAGCCTCAGAAACTAGACGGAGGGTCACTATGAGTTAGAACCAACTTAATGGCAAAGTAATTGTACGAAACAACAAAAAACCTTTACATTCACTGCCATTCAGTTGAAATTAACTTCTTTCTCTGTAATGGACTAAAAAACACCAAAAATCTCCACAAGCCATTAACAGCTTCAGAAAGCAACTCAAATTCACTGGAACTAACTCATTATTGATCTTCTACACAACTACTCAACCCTGGCTCTTAGATCAAAGAAACCATAGATAATGCAAAAAGGAACAAGAATAGGCATGTTCCCTACATCCAGGGGCTGAAGGATGTGGTCACTGGTTCTACTCAATCTACAAAGTAAAATCCAAGAGGTCTGGAGCAATCCAGAGTTGTTAAGTGGAACTTTCATGAGTTAAGTGAAAATAAAGGTACAGGACGGTTTGGTCCTGAATAAATTTCCACCGTTTCCTTAAAAATACAAAAAAGTCATAACATGAATGGCATTGCTTCGTATCGCTTATCGTCTGATTAATACTATAGTTGTGCAACTTTAAGTTACATATGCTTTTAACAAAGCTAGAAAATAATGGTTCACAAAAAGGCCCACTTTTGAAATTAATACATTGAAGATGTTTTTAGTAGCTACATTTAAAAATAACATCTCAAAAGAACAAAGCAAATATATAGAAAGCATAAAAACAAAGCATGCTTTCAAATGCCAAAGGAATACCTTTAAAATACCTTTAAATATGCACTAATGACAAGAAATGAGGTAAAATAACACAAGTACTACCTTCTCTGTTCTTTAAAAAGGTAAAGTAAAATAAAGAAACAATATCCAGAAATATTTGCCCAACAAAACCTTGTTCTTGTAAGCAAAAGAATGTTTATGTACTGGTTTTTTTTTTGTTTTTTTTTAATTTAGGTTGTTTATTTTTCATTTCAATGAACATCTACAGAGATTTTGGGATTCCATTCATTCATTGTTTTAAAGGAACAGAACACCTTTGGAGTTAATCACTACCAATGCAAAAGTAGGGCTAGAATAATCCTCATGACTCCCACCAAAAAGAAAGATAGATAGATAAGATAGATAGATAATTTACATAACTGTAAAATTTAACTTGGTTCCTCATTTTCTAACTTTATGTCATGCTGCCTTCAATTCTATCACAATAAATGCTCAATCTCTCTGAGCTGCCATGATCTCTTGGCTTTCTAGTCAGGGTATTCTCTCCCACAAAGATATTATCCACCCTCACCCCTCTACCACCCCACTACTCATGCACTCTTACTGACTGACTCATAGGTGACTCTGCATCAGGTTTCTGAGGCTGTAAATCACACAGGAGGCCCATCATTCTCAGAGAAGAGCATGCTGGTGGGTTCAAACTGCCTGAGAGAGGCATGGTCTATGGTCTTCCCTGCTCAGGCACTCCTGCTGGCTAATTCCCACCCATGCTTCAGTATTACTTCCTTAAACTGGCTTTCTTTGATGCATAGTCTCAATCTGCTTGGAGTTAAATGTAACCTCAGTCCTCTGTTTTACACTGCCCAGATACCCTTAAGTATTGTTTATATGGATTTATCCTTGATGTGTAAGCATTCATTCAAATAAAAATAAAACTTTATCTTACTTGCTTAAAGTTCATTGAGATGCCTCTTCTGGCTTGTTCATCAAACACTCCAGAACTCAGACTACTGAAAATAGATTGACGAATATGTGATTACTTATCCTATTCTTTAACTATGTAAAAATTATTCAAAAATTTACTTGGCACTTTAGAAATACTTAATGCACAAGTTTAAAAAGCTAGTTATAATGTCGAGTGAAAAAGTCAGTCACAAAGGACAAATACTCTATGATATCATGCACATGAAATATCTAGAATGGGAAATGCACAGATCAAAGAATCTCAAATACTATGTTGAACATTGGAGGTTCTCCCAGAGGCATTTTGGAAAAAATTCCTGATATTGCATTTCTGAAAAAATTACCTTGAAAATCCTATGGACAGTTTTACTTTGACCACCAGGGGCTATCAAAAATTGGAATCCATGTGATGTCAATTGGTGGTAGGGATTCAAGTTTATTCAAGTAGTTGACAGTGGATGGGAAAAACAGGGAATGATTATATAGAGGCACTGTATCTCTATTAAAACAGCAAAAAAGAATTCATTGTTATTGTTTGTTAAGGATTATAATTTGTAAATGGTTAGTGAAGCTCTCAAAACATGAAAATGTTAATGTCACTGAATGATACATTAAAAAAGGAAATGATAATAAATGTTGCTATTAGTTCCAATGTTGTTGTTAGGTATCCACAGCTGAACCTCTAGCCAGTTTTCAGAGATGGTAAATCCCAGAGGAAGAGACTGTCCATCCATCTCCCTCCGGAATAGCTAGTGACTTGAACCACGTGTCTTTGGGACTGCAATGCAGCTTCTTACGATTAGGCTACCAGAGTTCTCTAGAGGAAAACTGTTTTCAAAAGAGGAGCTGACAAAAAGGTTGAGTAGACATTATAATTGTTGTTGATTGCCTTCAAGTCGAGCACAACCTATAGCCACCCTATGAATAAAAAGCCCACTGTTGTAAAACTATATATGAATGACTATGTGAAAAACAATATAATATTTGTATGCCTTCACTTAAAAGACATTTTTTAACATGGGGAAAAAAATTGCTGCGGGGTAGATTTGAACTTCTAAACTTTAGGTTAGTAACCCATTTCCATCAAGTTGATTCAAACTCATAGCAAAGCCCTATCAATTTTCCAAGGTTGTAAATATTTATGGGAGAAGACTGCCATCTTTCCCTCACAGATCTGTCCATTAACTATGAAGTGCTAAGCTTTTTACTTGGCAACACATTAAACACTATGCTATAAATCAAGCTCTTAATAATTTTTGACACCTAGGAATGACTTAACCATGAAACAATGAAAAAAATGGAGCTTCACCCTTATGGCTATAAGCTAACAATAAATAGAAACCAAATTAAACAAGTTTCATATAGAGGAAAAGGCAATCAGGAAAAGAAAGCATCAGTATGTCAACAGTAAAAGGAGGTAGCCATCTTTAGAAAAGGTGTCAGGGAAAGCCTCCATTAGACTGGATCTAGAAAAAGAAAGGAGTACTCAATAAGAGGAGGCCAGAAGTGTTAACTCCAGGGGAGGGGATTTACAGTGGGATTAATTAGCATAGTATAGGAGAAAGGAAACCTAGTTTTTAGCAAAGACAGTGGCTATTAGATTTTTTACTTGTCTGAATGCATGGACAGGGACACGGGACCTAAAAGCTGTCCCCTGGCCCAGTCTTCAAAGGTATCTCAGAGTAGATTTGAGTCTACTCATAATTAAGGGGTTGCAGTTAGCCCTTTGGGAGCTCTGATGCTGCAGACCCTTGATAAACTGCTAATTTAAAAACCACATCTTTCCAGTGGTTTGAATCCACCAACTGTGGGAAGAAGATGGACAATCTCCTGAAGTATGACTTACAGACTCAGAAAACAGTCCTGACTCACATCAATGCAGTAAGACCTTCACTATTTAAGCAACAACAGTGCAAAGGAATGGCAAACAAAGATGGCAGTAATCTAGAATGAGGCTAAGGGGAGTAGAATCTTATGGCCTTGGGAGTCATTTTCATTTCATCTCTAGGGTTGAGAGAAATCATTAGTGTTTCAAACAGAAAAGGCAAGATCTGGATGGCTTACACTAAAATGGAAACTTATCTACTGCTATGCAATTGATTCTGACTCTCAGTGACTCATGATCTGTTTAGGAGTCCATAAATCTTTAAAATTCTAATTCACTTCACCGAAATTCGTGATTGATTGATTGGTGTATAGTGTAAAAAGATCCCTTAGGCTGCCATGAGTGAGGAAACAAATTAGGAGCAAAGAATGGAAGGGGCAGAACCAAAAC